GTTCAGCAAGGATGTGCCTACACAATCTTTTGTTAAAGAGATTAAGCCTATGACTGATAGATCTAACCAACTACCACAGTAGAAAACCCATCAACTTAGACTGAAGGGGACAGAGAAAAAATAAAAGGAAAGAACGCCGTCTGCCTCTTGGAATTCTACAGGCAGGAAACAGGCTGTCCTCCAAGAAAAGAAAAGGACCATCCCTGGAGCAGCTTGGAGATCAGTAGAACTGTTAGAAGGAACACAAGAAGTAGGGCCTTCTTGGTTTCAAAGGGTAGGGCCACAGTCTTCTTAATCTCAAATGGTGGGGCCACAGCCTCTTAGGTTTCAAAGAGTCAGCTTTTCACCAACTTGATTCCAGAGTCTGGAGCTGCTGTTAAGGTGTGCTAGGGGTTTGGGGCCATCACCCAAAGCTGAGGGGGCAGGGCTGCCATGCCCAAGGGGAAGAAGAATGGGGCCTGCCTGAGCTGAAGGGGTGGGGTCACCACTCTGATGAACTACGAGAATGGGGCTGCCTAAAGCCAAGAGAGCAGAGTTGCCATCCCAGAGGACCTGGAAAGTAGAGCTAAAGCCCCAGGTTGAGGGACCTTCACCCAGAATCCAGACGATATGGCCAACACCCAGATTCTGGAGGGCAGGGCTTATTGCCCAGATGGTCCCAAAGAACAGAGGATTATTTTCAAGACTTGAGAGCTAATGTAAATTGTTCTGCTGAGTTTTGGACTTGCTTGGTGCCCGTTATCCCTTCTTTCCCTTCAATTTTTCCCATTTGTAATGGAACTGTTTACCTCTACCTGTTACACCATTGTACTTTGGAAACAAATAACTTCTAGTCTAGATTTCACAAGTTCACAGATGAAGAGGAATTTTGCCCCAGGATGGAATATGTGTAAAGTCTCACCCATGTTTGATTTAGATGATTCAGAAGATGAGATTTTGGACTTGGAGTTGATTGAAGACTTTTGGAATGATGTGATGGGGTGAATGTGTTTTGCATATGGCAAGGACATGAATTTTGGGGGTCAAAGGGTAGAATGTTATAGATTAAATTGTATCCCCCCAAAAGAGGTGTTGTAAATCCTAACCTCTATGCCTTGGTTATAATCTCATTCGAGAATAGGTTGTCTTTGTTATGTTAATGAGACATGATTAGTGTAGGGTATATTTGACTCAATTGCTTTTGAATATATAAAAGAGATTTAAGAAGTAAGTGAGAAGCAGAGATGGGGTAAGATTGATGCCAAGCCCATGGAGATATTCGAGGAACCGGGAAACATGCTGAAGACACAAGGACCTTCCCCAAGAGCCAACAGAGAGAGAAAGCCTTCCCCTAGAACCAACAGCCTGAATTCAGATGACTAGTCTCCTAAACTGTGAGAAAATAAATTTCTGTTGATAAAGCCATCCATTTGTGGTGTTTCTGTTATATAGCAGCACTAGATAACTAAGACACCATGAATTACTAGAAGAACGAACATATCTGTCTTGGAAGAAATACAGCCAGAATGCTCCTTAGAAACAGGGATGGCGAGACTTCGTTTCACGTACTTTGGACGTATAATCAGGAAGGACCAGTCCCAGGAGGACATCATGCTTGGTAAAGTAGAGGGTCAGCGAAGAAGAAGACTTTCAACGAGATGGATTGACACAGTGGCTGCAACAATGGTTCAAGCATAGCAATGGTTGTGAGGATGATGCAGGACCAGGCAGTGTTTCCTTTTGTTGTACATAGGGTCACTATGAGTGGGAACCAACTTGACAATACCTGACAACAACAGTGATCTAAGATGTCAGGTATCTGGTAGTGGTTTCTTCTTCATTTTGATTTAGCTACAGCATTTGGCACACAAGCTTCATCATCTCAAGTTTGGTATTTTATCTGTTTCCTTGTTTCTTTGAAGTTGACGTTTTGTCTACTTTTTGTTTGTTCTTACTTTCATTGGCTTTCAAAGGAAGAGAGTAGGAAAATGCCTTTACCATCATCAACTAGAGGTCACTGTCAAGTATTATTTCTTTGAGGAGCTTTTGGTTTATTTTACTACTTTAATAAAACTTAGTTTATGACACCATTTATTTTGTTTCTTGAGTCTTTTAAAGCTGACTATAATGACATAAGTTTTTGTTTTAATTATTCTTTCTCTTCCTTTATACGGCTATTCTATATTCAATCAGTTGATTATTTCTGTCAAGTTTGTATCTTCAACAAGATATATTTAGCATATAAGTATAAAAATATTTATGTACTGTGCTATAAGTAAGAAAAATCACACCTCTAAAACTAGTTCAACTACTGACTATGATCTCTTTTCTATGTCTCAGTTTCTCTAAAAGTAAATACAGACAATAATACCTTCTTATATTTCTGCTTGTATTTACTTTAAAAAATAATAAGTTGATGAGTCCCATAATTCTTTATAATAAAACCATTCCTTACATATTCCAGGAATGTGATTAATGTTTTCTAATTTTCACAAAGGCACTACCTGTCCTTTCCTCATTGTTATGAGTTTGTTCTTTATATAACATATGAAACAATTGCATATTGTTACACTATTATTTCTCCATTCCCTGTGAGCCTTCCCTTAATAGTCTGCCAATGATGCAAATAATTTAAAAAATTAATTAGACCCAGATTTCAAACAGGAATTATTCATACTTTTAAAGCCAACATATCTCTCCTAGATTTCTCTTTTGTTCCTTTCCACTATTATCAGACTAAGAAAATAATAGCATCTCTTTGCTAAAGGTAGATGCAATTCTTTTTCTTTTCCTTTAACACATTTTATCTTGCTTTAGGTGAATGTTTACATATTGAATTAGTTTCCCATTCATGCAATTCTTTTTTAAACATAGAATTATAGAAAAACGACAGTGAAGCAGCTTACAAAAGCAGAGTGCCTTGGTTTTCTTGCCCTCTTTAAAAGCAGAGACATAGACTATCTAATCACTGATGGGCTCTTCTGCTGCTAGACATCTGGTTTTTAACCTTAGTTTGCATTGATATTTATGCCTTTCAGTTTGGGTTGAAATTCCTTCCTTTTATGTTGAAACATTTCAAACATTTACAAATAGCTTTGTGTGTGTGTGTTTCATACAAGAATAATCTTAGACCTTCTTACTCTCAAGAAATTTAATATCAACACATGAATATTATTTGTCATCCATATTCAAAATTTTCAGTCACTCCCCAAAATGTCCTTCACACCTATTTTTCCCTCTACAGCAAGCAATCAAGGACCATGCTTTTCTGTTGATTGTCTTGTCTCTTTACTCTTATGTAATCAAAAACAACCCCCCACCCATTTTTGTTTTTCATGGCTTTGACATGTTTGGAAGCCCCACAGTCTGAATTTGTCTGGATTTATCTGATTGTTTCTTCATGATTAGATTCAGAGTAAACATACTGGTAAGGAGATGTGCATTTCCCATTACATCATATCAGGAAGCACCAAAATTATGTCAGTTTGTGCCATTATTGCTGATACTAAATTAGATCGCTTGGTTAAGGTAGTGTATGTCAGATCTCTCTTTGTAAAAGTACTCTCCGTAATTAGTAATCAATTAGTAAGTAATTTGTGGTGCGTACTTTAAGACTATGTGAATATCCTGTTTTCACCCAGTATTTTCATCCATTGATAATCTTTCCCTCAATTAATTATTATACTGTTAGTTGCAAAATGATAATTTTCTAATTACACAATTCCTTCTATATTTGTTAACTGGCAGTTTCCTAGAAAGAAGAGCAATTCTCACCCTCTTAAAAAATTGGAATATCTCTATGAATTCTTTTTAATCAATGTTTTATAATGCATTTCTATCAGTATTATTTTAGATAGCGATCAAAAAATCCATTGCCATCAAGTCGATTAGGACTCATAGCAACCCTAAATGACAGGGTAGAACTGCCCTATAGGGTTTCCAAGGCTGTAGTCTTTATGGAAGCAGACTGCTGCGTCTTTCTCCCGTGGAGCAGCTGGTGGGTTCCAACTGCCAACCTTTCAGTTAGCAGCCCAGCTCTTTAACCACTTTGGCACCAGGGCTCCTTTAGATAGCCGTATTATCCCACATTTATTTTGTGGAAGCCCCTTACAGCCATCTTCAGGATCCTTTTGACAGAATCTCCGTTTGTCTTTGAACACTTCTTTGCTCTCTAGCACGATATGTACCAGGTTCACCTTGTATTTTCACTAGTTTCTTTTATTGGGAAATGGTGCTTAAAAATCAAAATTTGGATACTACGTATGTTCATCTCTAATAAGGAGTCATTATTCTCTCTGCCCTCTCACTGGACAAAGCTGAGAAATGCCTCTAACTCCCATTACGTATTTGAATCTTTGTTCTGGGCTCAGTGAGAACCTTCATTTGCTCTATCCTACAAGACAGCTAAACTAGTTTCACAATTACTGTATCAACACTATTTTCAGCAACAAATCTATTACATAAAATTCAATATTTCTTTGCAATTCTTTTTGTCCATAAAATATATCTCACTAAAGGTGTATTAGTTATGGTTCTGTGATTTAAAATTACTTGAATTAATTGTTTTTTCCTTGTGTGATTGTATTACCAATTTTATATTTAGTTAAGTTTGTTTTTGTCTTTGTATTCAGTTTTAGGGTTTGTTTTTGAAATTCTTTTTAAATTTAATATTATTTTTGGATTAATTAAAACGTTTATAGGGGCCAAGAGCCAAAACTATAGGAAAAGGCATATACTGAAGCAGACAAAATCTCATGTTTTCCATCCTTATTCTTTTCATTTTGTACTGCTCCCTTCTTTTAGAAATCCATTATCATTAATTTCTATGTATCATCCTTGGATTTGTGTGTATGTTCTTATTTCCCTTTCTTACTTAAACAAAAAAGGTTGATTCTTTTTTATATAATAAATTATTTCTTGAAAGAAATTCTCATTTTTTAGCATGTATATACTTTTTGTAATAACATACATTTTGTTATATTTAGAAAATTTTATTTTTCATGTTTGTCACTCATAAACAGGGGGTCCTGGACGATCTACCATGCCAACCCCAGGAAATACTGCAGCTTTTCGTGCTTCCCTCTGGACCAATATGGAGAAACTTATGGATCATATCTGTACTGTTTGTGGACAGGTAAATAGTTTAGGGAGTAGAAAAAATTTAAATTTTGGTTTAAATCTTGATTATTCCAAGTTGTCTGATTTTGTACAGATTTCTTAAAATCTCTGAGCACTCAAAATACCTATGTTAGCTGATTATAGTGTATTTATAGGCTCTAGCAAAATGCCATTTCCCTTACCTTACTTTTCTAGTACCCAAGCTTTTCGTTTATTTCAATTGAAAATGCCCAATTCTATATATTGCAATCACTCCTTTTTTTTTTTAGGTACAACATCTGCAAAGAGTACTAGCCAAGAAGAGAGATCCTGTTTCTCACATTTGCTTCATTGAAGAAATAGTTAAGGTATGTTTAAATGAAAATATTTTCATCTATTTCCTTGACCAGCATCATTCATGTTCCTTCCTTACAGAGTGGCTATATGTCAAAAAACAGTTGGGAAGTGTCTTTCTTGACAACCATAAATTTTCCTTGCAAATACACACACACACACACACACACGCACACACACACACAAACACATATATATGGAGGAGTCCCTGGTGGTTCAAGTCTGCCCATGTGCCTCAGAAGCCTGGCGATCTACTTCTGAAAGGTCACAGCTATTGAACACTCCGGAGACAATATTGAAGTTGCCAAGTATTTCATTTTACTTGGATCCACAGTCAACACCCATGGAAGCAGCAGTCAAGAACTCCAACGACGAATTGCACTGGGCAAGTCAGATGCAAAAGATGTCTTTAAAGTGCTGAGATGTCACTTTGAGTTCTAAGGTGCACCTGACCCAAGCCATAGTGTTTTCAAACTCCTCATATGCATGGGAAAACTGGACAATGAATAAGGAAGACCGAGGAAAGATTGATGCCTTTGAATTATGGTGTTGGTGAAGAGTGTTGAATATAGCATGGACTTCCAGAAGAATGAACAAATCTGTCTTGGAAGAAGTACAGCCAGAATGCTCCTCAGAAGCAAGGATGGCGAGACTTCGTCTCACGTACTTTGGCATGTTATCAGGAGGGACCAGTCCCTGGAGAAGGACATCATGCTTGGTAAAGTAGAGGATCAGGGAACAAGAGGAAGACCCTGAATGAGATGGATCGACACAGTGGCCACAACAATCGGCTCAAACATAGCAACGGTTGGAGGATGGCATAGGACTGGGCAGTGTTTCGTTCTGTGGTACACAGGGTAGCTATGAGTCAGAACCGACTTGACAGCACCTAACAACAACAACAACAACAACATTGAAAACACCATTGAGTGCAGTTCTACTCTGGGACATATGGGGTTGCCATGAGTTGGGCACAGTACATTACATAAAAACACATATATCAAGGATTTATTCTGAATGTGTCAAGACTGTATTTCTCATTTTACTAATGAATCATGAGTTTATGGTCTAACATTTGGTAGTTTTGTAGCTATAAAAATAGTGAAAATAATTTTCCTTAGTTCTGTGCAATGTTGTAAAAATTATTAAATCACTGATAAGCTTTTATTGGGTAAAAAAATAAACATTTAGGTTTACTTCAAAAACTTTATTTTCAAATTAATTTTGCCAATTCTGCCTTGTTGTTTGCTAAGATATTTGATTCCAGTTGATAGAGAAAACTATTCATATTAGCACGCATAGCTTTATTTCAAGAACCTTCAAGAGAAGAAAAAAATCCTCTATGATGATAGTTTCTGTAATGCTTTATTAGTACTGAAGGTTTTTGCAGTAGATGTTCATTATGTTGCAAAGAATGTATCAAAGTGTAAAGAGGGCATAAATGAGTTGAGTATAACTGCACCGACAGTCTTATCAGGTGTAACAAATTTTAGGAATATTTTAGTTTAAATGTAGAGTCTTTTGAATGCGTTTTTGTATTCAAATTTTAATCTATGCTGTTTCTTTTTTTTTTTTTTTGTACTTCCGGTGAAGGCTTACAGAACAATAGTTTCTCATGAAACAGTTACTACAAATGTTGCCCTATGACAATGGTTAACAATCTCACAACACATCAACAATATCCTTATTCAACCTTGGGTTCCCTATCACCAGCTTCCTTGTCCCCTTCTGCCTTCTGGCCCTTGTCACTGGACTCCTGCACCTCGTTAG